AGCCTATAAAGCAATAATAAATGTAGCATTCACAGTACCAAATTGTTTGCTTTTTGGCATATAATATAGTTCCATATGTATGTATCTCAGCATATACTTTATTTTCTATATCATCACAAAGTTTTAAATTGTAGGGATAGTCTTGTGAATGGTAAGGCATTAAGAATGACTGTGAAAAGTGAAAAGCTATCAGTGAAGGGAGGACGTGATTAAAAGAATCCATGCTTAAATCAGATACAATATCTGACCTGTAACTGGTCTAGAAATAACTTAGATATTAGCAGCTGAAGGTCTCAGAGGGAGGAAGGTTTATTCATGGCTCCAGAGCTTTTTCAACTTCTTGATTACTGTTCCCTTCCTTCAGGCAATGTCTTTTGTGAGGTCTTCCAGTGCTACTGCTTGTTGTCAGTAAGTGTGTTCCCTTTCCCCTACCCCCCTCTCTGAGACTTGGGCATGTTTGTTTGCAAGTTGTCTGGCTGAAACTGAGCTCAACTGGAAGCGTTGTTCGTCCAGAGTCCTACCCATGGCATGGGCAGAGTATTTCTTAACAGAGATAAGCAGCACAGTTTTGAAAAGAATGGGGATCCTTTGCTGTCAGTTCGAGCCTTGGACTTCACTCTTAGGTGTCAGGGTGATGGTGACTTTACAAAGCTAGATATTGCACTTTTTTCACCCACCCCAGGCAGTTCCCAGCCTCCTGTGTCCTTTCACCCTTCTTCTGTTATATAGTGAAAATCTTCTTTGTATTTAACCCATCCACACCAGAAAGAGGAATGTTGGCTGGACCAGGGAAGGATAGTGTTTAGCAAGCAAATTGCAGTTTACAGCAAGTTGTCCATTTCGATATTCTCTGTGAGAATGGAAGCAGGAATCTGAGCAACTTCATTCTGATATGGTTATTTCTGCACCCTCTAAATTACAGCATAGGGGAAAAGGAAGCGATACATTCCTGAATTGCTAGCACAAAGTCTTTCTTTATGCTTCCCTTGTGCTTTTAACTGCCCTGCTGTTTGGTAGTGACTCCTTAAACTCTTTCAAGAGATGCTAATATAGAAGTATCATTTAAAGATGACTGAATCCCACCCTTAGATCGTGAACGCTTTCTAAATTAAAGCTTGATAGCCTTTAAGGATGCTGTGTAATATGTTTAAGTCAGGTCATAGAGAGTCTTAAGAGAATATGTTGCCCTCTACCCGGTGCCTGCAGTGATCTAAGCTATTCTTTGTAGTTATTTAGGATTTTATATCCTTTTTTCAGGAAATTAAAGACACCGTGTGAAAACAAATTGTGCAAAGGGACTGATGACAAGACATTTAAGTGAAGCATGGACATTTCAATTGAAGTAGAGGGTGTTAGTCAAATGCTACCTGCTGGGCTGGTTAGCAGTAACAGTATAATTCTGTAGCCTGTGTTATACGGGAAATCATAGTAGAGAAATTAATGGCCTTTCCTGTCTGTAGTGGAGGAATATATAAAAGTTCTGCACTTCGGTATTCACTTTGTCTTAGATTCTGGAACGACCAAGAGTTCTGTATGTGCTTTCATGGTACATCCATTTTCTTAAGTGCTTGGCAGAGCTAGAGGAGCAGTGTTTGCAGGGAAGGAACTGATTTTTTTGTTAGTTTGTGATTTTTGTATTGTGTTTGGTTTTTTTAAGGAATGATAGCTTTAGGATGAAAAGGTTCTTGAGGTTTCTGCTGGACTTAGCCTCTCTTAAATAAACAAAATGTGTATATCTAGACCTTCAAATAGAGTCTGTAAAAGTCCTATGATGTCTGGATGCTTGTCACTGCTGCCAAAACTATCCAGTGAAAGGCAGGACTGTCATTTGTCACCAAAGTGCAGAATTTTAGCTTTTCTTTTTGCCTGCTTATCTCATAGTCCAGCTGGATTTATTTGCATACCTACCACATACTTGTGTTTTTCATTTCCATGCAAGCCCTAAATATTAACTACATTCCCTTTTCAGATCTCTGTATTAGCCTTTTCCCAACACACTGTGACCCAAAACCTCTGTTTTATTAATGCCTTTTCAATAGATTACTCCATGCTAGATAGGTTTTCTTTTCTTCCTTTTTGGGAACTAATCCACAAGATCACTGCACTGTTGCTGTTGAATAAGGAGTTGAGCTTCAGGATCACTTCTGTCATATGTTAAAATACAGAAGTGTTTTTTTCCTGTGTTTTTCTTCAACGCGCAGTACTCTGGCAATGTCTCACAAAAAGCTGCAGACACTGAGCACTTCATTGGTTGAGACAGGTCCTGTACTTCCCAGTAAATGCATGTGTGTGAATAACAGAGCAGGATCTTCCCGACATACTGACAATTTTACAAGGGAAAGAAGACACAATCAGAATGTTACTGCATCCTTTTAATTACAAGTCAGAGGGAACTCTGTGTTCCCTTCATTCTTACATTTTGAACTGTAGAAAACATCAAAGCCAAAACAAACAATTTCATGTATGGTGAGACATTTATACCAAGAAACTATACAGTAGTTGCTCAGCTTTTTGAAGACCAGGCTAGGCTAGGCTAGTATTTAATCTCCGTTCTGTTGCTCACAAGAAAAATGTGCGTGTGTATCCTGTTCCTTTGCAAAGCCACCTTAACTTTACTGTGGTTCCAGTTAATGTAGCAGAATTTTCCCATGGCCTCTAATGAGATGGGGAGCATTTTTACTGCTGGTTATCTGGTAGGAAACTTGTGTTGGTAGGTCTTTTTAGAGGTAGTATTTTCAGAGAACTGATCCACCTTTCTAAAGCACAGTCATTACCGGTCAAACAAAAGCAATTTGCTTCTACAGTGGAATCAGTAAAATGGAAAATGTATAATGGCTTAGCTGGGAACACATGCTTTTCACCTTTTGCTCTTTTGTCTCCTGTTTCAGGATAGGTTTTCCTACCATTCCTAGTCCATTAGTTGTATATTAGGTCCATGTGATCTGTAATCTGCACAGACAGTACATGCTGTCTGCAGCGCAAGAGCAGCTTTTTTCTTTCAATCTCTGCTGCTAATATAATGTGTTATATTGATCCATTCTGGCTTCTCATGTATTTTCTTGATGGTGATGAGAAAGGTGGTATAATTCTTCACCAAAAGGAAAAGAGCTTAATTTTCATGCAAACCAATATCCAACAAAATCATAAAGGCCTAGCCCTGGTAATAAAAATAGAGGCTGGTGCTATTAATACATCATTCCAGAAACACAGAGCACCATTATGTGGCTCCTGGGTTGAGTAAAACTTCATGTAATCACAGTGGCCATAGACTTGAGCCCTATAAAGTTGGAAACTTCACCAGATGGCCATTGTCAAGGCAGCTTCTAAAGACTTCAGAGCTGCAGTGTGTTAGGGCCCTTAGATATGGCTTACTCAGTGCTACCTTTTTAAAATACAATTACTGAACATAACTGGTCCACGTAATGGGAGTAATAATAATAATACTTTGCACCCAGTGACCTTTTATCCAAGGACCCAAAACCTCTTAACCAAAGCTTTTAAACAGTCCCTTTCTGCTTATAGGAAATAAAGCATTCGATCTTGATGGAGCGTGAGAGAACAGAGCAGCAGCACCCCAACGTCTATTGCAAGCAGTCAGGGGATGCTCTCTGCAGGTTGGAGGAAGGGAGAGGAGAGTGCTGTGCTTCATGTCCCTGACACCTGGCAGATGATGTCCCAGTTGCTTGGGGTGGAACCTTCAGTGGTACTTTTAATCTAGAGTAGAATCAGCCTGTGAGTGGGATTGCTTGTACATTAAAATGTAGTGCCAGAAACGGGATTGATATATAGTAGCCCTAACCTGATATTTCCTTTATTCTGTAAACTGTGAGGGTAATACTGAAATGGTATGAGGATCCAGGGATACTAAGGCTCAGATGTACCACACTTAGCTGAGGAACTTACATGTAGAGTGAGATATCCTAGGCTTTATAAATTTGGGACAGACAGATACATACCTGAAAAGACTGGACTGTATTTTAGGGAGAATGGTTATGTTCTTTTTTTAAAGTGCAACATCTTGGCCATGATTTACTGAGCTTTAATACTCTGCCTCAGAAGTCACATAATGGTATTTATCACTAATGGGAGTAAATAACTGTATTTGACATTTGCTTTTGTATAGTCAGTAGTTATTTTTTCTTTTTTTTTCCCCAAAGTGATTTTATTGTTCATTTTCAGGGTCTAGAGATCATGCCTAAAAGTTTTCTTGATGAAACAAAACTGGGAGGAGTGGCTGACACACCAGAAGGCTGTGCTGCCATTCACCAAGCCCTAGACAAGATGGAGAGTTGGGTGGGGAGAAATTTTGTGAACTACAAGAGCAAGTGTAGAGATTTGAACCTGGGAAAGAACAGCCCCAAGTACCAGTATAGATTGGGGACTGACCTGCTGGAGAGGAGCGTAGGGGAAAGGGACATGAGCCAGCAATGTGCCCTCGTGGCCAAGAAGGCCAATGGCATCCTGGGGTGTATTAGAATGGGAGTGGCTAGTAGGTCAAGGGGGGTTCTTCTCCTCCTCTCCTCTGCCCTGGTTCCAGCACAGAGCCACAAAGATGATGAAGGGAGTGGAACATCTCCCTGATGAGGAAAGGCCGAAGGAGCTGGGTCTCTTTAGCTTGGAGAAGAGGAGGCTGAGGGGTGACCTCATTAATGTTTATAAATTTGTAAAGGGTGAGTGTCAGGAGGACAGAGCCAGGCTCTTCTCATTGATGTCCAGTGACAGGACAAGGGGTAATGGATGCAAGCTGGTGCACAGGAGGTTCCACAAAAACATTAGGAAAAACTTTTTCACTGTGAGGGTGCCAGAGCCCTGGAACAGGCTGTCCAGGGAGGTTGTGGAGTCTCTCTCTGGAGACCTTCAAAACCCACCTGGACGCGTTCCTGTGTGGCTGCCCTAGGTGATCCTGCTCTGGCAGAGGGGTTGGACTAGATGATATCTAAAGGTCCCTTCCAACCCCTAACGTTCTGTGATTCTGTGACTGTTTTTGTTTTATCTTTTAGATCGATGTGATTGTCACTTTGGGTGGACTTGGAGGACGCTTTGACCAAATAATGGCATCAGTGGAAACACTTTTTCATGCAACAAATATCACTCCTTTTCCAGTGATCGTTATCCAGGACTGCTCACTGATTTACCTGCTTCAACCTGTAAGTGTTATGAAAAGTTCCTTCGTAATAAAACTGACCCACCCTGGCCCTGTAGGTCTTGCACCATTAAACGCTCATTTTCTTAATTGTGTTCTGTTGGGCCAGAGCCTAAGTATAACATACATTGCAGGGAAGTGGATAGCAAATGATGGGCTCTGCATTCCTACCTTGGGTAAGATAGCATGTAATTTGTTCAGGATAGATTTGCTTTAAAGGGGAGGAACAGAGAAATCTAAAAGGTATGAAAGCTGAATTTGGGTGAATACAGAATTTTTATTATAAATGGAAAAATTAACACTTTTTTATTAGATTCCTATAAGTGTAAATTTAGCACACAGCCCTTGTGCGTGTTGAGTAGCAATAATGATCTCTGCAGCAAGAGAAGCAAAAGAAAAATGTAAGACGATGATATGAGGGAGTTCCTGACAAACATGTCAAGCAGAGCTCTTACGTGGTCTGAGTGGTGCAGTTCATTGTTGTGGGAATCCAGCTAGTATCAACAAGGGAATTTATTATTTTTGTGTTTTTTCAGGTCTGTTATTCCATTTATTGATTTTAAAAAAATAACACCAGACACAAAGGGTCTTGTTGGGCTTTTGCTTCTGAGATTTAAGTTACAGGCAAATCTAAGCATCAAAGAGTCTTCTCTAATAGTGATTCATTTGTTTGAATTTTTTTTCCTGAAGCCAAGGTTTCTAGAAGCTTAACTAACTTTCCTGTTTTAACTTGGAAGGCTTATTTCGTTACAGTAAATAACATTCACAGACAAATTTAACAAAACATTGCACCACACGTGCTTCATTGTACTTGGAGAAAAGCATTTGCAAGGGTCTATGCAATTGTAGATTTAAAGCCATAAGGGCAGATTCTGTATTAACAGCTTTGAAGCACTGTGTCTGCAGGAAAGATAGTAGGCACAGGAGCTAATTTGCCAGTATGACAAGGAATGACTCTGATCATTAGTTGCACAGCTAAATAGATAGAGGTAGCAGACTGAGTTTTTGATAACTGTGGTTAAAATCTGAAAGTGAGGAGTAGTTTGCTTGTGATTGATCTATGGGTGCAGTACTTCACTGGTCACTGTAAATTAATTTTAGAATATTTTTAAGAACATATTGAAAAGCTGAAAATGGAGAATTCCTAATTTAGCTTACAAAACACTTACTTGGACTGGAAAGACTTTTAATTCTTTTTGTTCATCTTTTCCATAAGTGGCTTTAAAATGCCATGCCTAAGGTTGCTTTCAGAAGAGTCTTCAATGAATAATTAAACTCTCTGCAACTTGAAAAAATTCATTATCTTTGCATTTAAATAGAAGTGGGAGGTTGCTGTTTGGGCTTGCTGGAAAATTCTCTATGTTCTGGTTTTAATAATGCTGTACAGGAAATGTTTAATACTTTTTTATTGATGGGGAGAGTTCTACAAGATACTGGTTTTTTATACCATTCCTGGCTCTCAGTCTGCATTGCCCGTAACTGAGTTCTGTAACTTCAAGCTGTTTCTAGCATTCAGAAAGAAAGGGCAGATATAGAGGGCAGGCCTTTTAAACAATCATAATACTAACTTTGAAATAAAATTGCTTTTCATTGTTCATTTCAGCTTATCACTGTTAATATCTTTAGTCAACTGTCATGGTACCTCCAGATAATAATATTAATTCTGTATAGTCTAGATAAAAATCAAGTGAGTGGTTTATACACAGAAAAAAAAGAGTACTTGAGAGTACTCTATTTTTTGTGTGTGTGTGGAGTTCACTATGATATTTTTCTCTTGTAAGCAGCCACAATCGTGACATTCTCTCTTTTTCCCCTCTTCCCTTTGTAATTTAAAATCAAGGTAGGAGGGAGTTGAACACAGTGGGAGACCCTGTGACTTTTTGAAATGCAAGTCTGGAAACTGTGCAACAAATGAAGCAAAGTTTTGAGATTCAAATGCTAATGCAAATGATAAAGTTACGAGCGTGTTCCTTTTTCTGTAATATGTAGATCTTAAAGTTTTCTCTCTTGGGGAAGAAGAATCTGATCTTTATTGGATTATTTGGATAAAATATATGAGCAAAATATAACCATGTTTTTGCTTCAAAATGACATTTGGCCTCTGCTCACTATAGCAGGACACTAATAGCAGTTCTCTATTGTGTACCTAGGCAGAGGCTGAAGTATTTGGACAGAGCAGATAAACTGGTAATCCCATAACAGCTCTAGGAAGGATACAAAGGAGAATAACTGTTATAAATTGAGGGAATAAAACCCAGGAGCCAATTTAGAATTTAAGTGATTCATAAAATTTATTAAATTTAGCAAGCGGCTGAGTAAGCAAAACAGCGCTGGGCAGCGGGGAGCAGCTCTCGCCAAGGAGTGCTCATACCACAGCTGCACCCGTGCACGGGCAGATACCTTGGTTATATGCAAAGAAAGTTACATATTCATTAGATGCTTATAATATTCATGAGCTATCCGAAAAAGGTACTCAGTTCCGGTGGTCGGCTGCTCCTCCTCTTGACACCTGCACAGTGCCTCCTGGTGGTCTTGGACAGGGGTCGTCAGGGATGAAGGCCGTAGATCTTCCTCACGATGAACTTTTACCTTGGTTCAAAAACTAGTTGCTCTCAGCACATTTCGTAAGATATCTTTGTCCTCGAATTCCACAGGGGCCTTTCATCACCAGATGGTCATTGTTAGATACCTTTATCACTAGGTTCTTGTCAATTATTCTTGTTTTTATATACTCTTACAGTGAGTCCATCCTGGTAGCCTTTTGTTCTTTTTGCAGCTGGCGCTAGATAGCTCCCCCTGTGTACAAGCCTGACCTTGGTGCCGGGGAAGACTATGTTTGCTTAACAGGATATTGTAGCCTAAACAACTTCATTTCTAGCACAGCATAAAATTTGATTAACAAATTCTATATGCCTTCTATTACACAAAGGAGAATAAAAAGTTAAAATGCTGAATTTTTAGTTACTAATGCGGAAACTGAGAGGAGGATGGTTTGAGTAGATACACAAGTACACCATAAAATCTGTTAAGTAATTGTTTTGAAATAAAGTTATTTCACATTATTACAATATTGTATAGAGGGGTACAGTAGAAGAAATATATCAGTGTTTAACACACTTGTAAGAGGTCCACAGTGTTTTAGGAAACAGACTTAGAGACTTTCTAAAAGCCTTCAGGGTGATAGAGCAAGACAGCAAGGACAATGCTTGATTTGGGATCCACTACAGACTACAAGGCTAGGAGGACCAGCTAAACAAAGACTTTTTTCATCAGCAGATAAAATTATCCAAGGACTGAATGTAAGAGTGATTGGCATTTTGAGTACACAGGCATCTCTGGGGAAATAAGTGGACAAGCAGTGCAAGCTTTTGAAATATATTGATAAAAATGTTTTGGCATAAGTGATAGAAAACTAAAGTAAACTCTTTTATATTTCTGTCTGATCTGTAAGGATGAGCTATACTGAGAGATGGAGAAAAGAAAAAAAGATGGGAAGAATTGCACCCCATAAATACCTGTCTCCAAGGACTCTGGAGAAATCAGGTGGTAGGCCAAGATCTAGGTATACATTGTGGGTATCTAAATTTACATAAATTAATTCCAATATAAACAAAATTTTTAAACAATTATTTAAGAAAAGAAAGCAGGCATGAAATGAGGTCTTCAATAAAGCAAAATATTCCTTTGAGCGGATAAGCAAGACAGATAAAATCAGTGCCAAAATCCAAAGACTTTGAATTGCTTCAGAAAAAAAGTAAGAGATTGAACTGCCCTTGGTTTTACCATCTCCAAGATTTCTTAGTTTTTGTGTGCCATGCAACAGTAATTAGGATAGGAGTTAGAAATAGGGAGAATATATAAGAATTCCAGGAGGCAATGCATGATCTGAAGCATTTTCTAATGTGATAATTGGAATTAAACAAAAAGGGGAAAAAAGTATCTCTGTACTGAGTAGCCATCATATTTCTTTCTGTAGTAGGGGGAGGGAGGAAAGCCTGAATTCTTAATAGGGAATAATCATTCTTTATAAGCAGGGTATTTTATGCAACAGTCCATATATTTTATACTTGAAATTTTGGTAATATCAATTACCATTAGACTATACCCTGGCTGAAGAGCATTAGCCCCTTAGAGTCATGTTTATCATGCTAGCCATGCTCAATATGAATGGCTTGAGGTTTCGCATACATACTTTCTCATTTTCTGGTTGTGTGCTTCTCAGGAGTACAGAAACATTCGCTTCTGTACACTGAGCATAAATTATCTTTTATCTGTGAGTTTTATGGCAGTTTGTAATACAAGGTAATAGGATTTATGACCAAGAAATGAGAAGATGTCCAAGAGTTAATGAGGCCTGTCTTTTACATTATACTGAGCAGTTCAGTTTTCCACACACAGGATTCCAGCCCTGGGATGAAGAGAAGAATTGCTACCTACACGTGAAAATGTGTTACAGAAGCACATTTTTGTCAGTTAGCTAAGTCTTTTGAAGGAGTGTGTGAATACTTTGATAACCCTTTTTCTTGCACGCAGCTTTTCTTGTGAGTGCCTGCCTGCCTGCCCTCTGAGAAATGATGAATAATTTAACACCATAGATTATAGTCCAGCAGCTAAATAGGAGCAATAAGAATCAGGAGTCCCATCCCTTATTCTTGGCTCTTTACTACCATTTCATTGATGTAAATTGTATAGTCTTTTGATCTCACAATCTCCTCATTTATAAATCAGATAAAACTCACGTCCTTCCCTGAATGGGTACTGCGAGGCTCGTTTAGTATTTTACAAAATGCCATTACACCCTCAGCTCTGCACCGAGGTGGAACACACTATTATGGTAACAGTAACAACAGTATTAATAAGGCCCTTAATTAACAAAGATATTGCCATACAGTAGGCAGTGGAACTAATTAGTTAGCATGATCCCAGGCACTGTTTTAGTGGAACCCAGCTATCATTCTTGCAAAGCAATGCCTGGGCACAGTTTGGGGTTAGCAGAGGCCGGTAAGCGTGTAGGAAGTGTTTGGAGGGGACGATCTTGTCCTGGGGACAAGAGAGAACAGCCATGTGCTGCGTGGTGCTAGTTCTCCTGGGGTCCAGAGGGTATCACCTGATGCTACCAGAGGGACTAAGCATGGAGATCTGCTCCTAGGAGGGGGCGCTGCAATACATGTAAGTGAGGGAAGGTACAAGACTGGAAACTTTACTGGAGTGTGTTGTTGCAATTCTTTGTGCCAGTGTTAGTCGGTTTGGTTTGTGCCCATGCTTGTAAAATTTAATGGTAAGTTCAGGGCATACACCTACAACTTCTGAGTTTTCCTCTGACAGCCAGTTCCTTGAATTTCACAGGAAATTCAAGAATGAGTTATGAGATCAGTTCTGTACCGCCTCATATGTGTAAGGAACAGATCTGGCTTGCACTGACACTCAAGGAGGAAAATCCTTAGTGTGTGCACTTCTAGGGGATAACTTTGGTATTTGAAGATAACCTTTATTGTCTCCTTTTCCCATATTAGTACATTTTGTGGGTAGATTCAGTTGTGAAAACATCCTAGTTGCCAAGGAAGGGGTTTAAACATATATTTAATATTTAAACATATAGTTCATATTTAAATAAAATATATAAACATATCTTTAGTACTTAAAATACTGTACTGAAAGGCTGTCTTTCCCGTTCGGTATCTGCTCTCAAAGTGCATTGTTGGAACTTAATCTGGTTGACAAAGTAGTGAGTCTCTGTGCCTCACGGTCACTTAAATGAGCATCTATGGGATTCGCAAATATATAACTTCTTGTTCTTCAATAAATACAACTTTTTCTGAATTTTCTAGGAGAAAGCCAGGCATTCAGCTGGACAAAAACGCTGCCAATGTCAAAAATACTAGCAGTGGAAAGGTCTTGCTCTGTCCCTTCTCTAGCAGCCTGACTCCTTCACAGAAGCCCTTGCAGGAAGGGGGCTAGTGCTTCCAGAGCTTCAGCAGCTCATTTAAATGGCTTCACAGGGAAAAAAAAAAAAAACAAAGAAGTTGCTATGTTAATAGTTCAGCTGCCTTAGTTACCTTCTTTGGTAAGAAACTGATGATTTGGTTACAGTTCGACTTCTCTTCTTAAAATAAGAGTGTTAGAGTTGGAGCCTGTGTTTTTCTTCTTCCCTGAGAAAATCCAGCTGGGCTAGTGATCATTCAGTCATTCTTGCCAGGTGTTTTTGTGGTGGGCATATGTAGATGTGACCTTCAAAAGGCTTCAGGTCCAAGTGACTCAGGTTTATTTCATGGTAATTTATGGCTATGAAGTGATGTTTACCACAGTATTTCTGCGTTTTAACGGATATCAGTGATCCAAATTTAATTCATTTTTGTCAATCAAATCATGACCTGGGGAAGATTTACTTGGTATCTTGCTTCTCACTGTTACAAATGAAAATTTTAGTGGGATTTTCTGTTAGCAGCTAAATTCCTTATAACTTGGTTCTGTTCCAGCATCATTAAATATGTAGTATGAAATATACAGAGCTTATATAGTATCTTAGAAATAATCATCCTTCCGGTGCAATTTGCATCAGCTTTACAAAATGCTTGGAATTACGTGAATTTTTTGTGGACTTTTTGCAGACGATGACATCTGATAGTTACTGGTTACTTCTGTATAATGAAGACCTATGCAAAATGTGGGTTTTTTTAGTAAATCTCATCCTATAGACTTTGTTTAGACAAACAAATACAACAAATTCATAAGTCAATTTGTTAGCTTGCAGGTAACCACTTGAAAAAAATACTTATTTCAAAGAAGGGAAAATATCAAGCCATCAGTGCCAAGTGAAAAAGAATAGTCTTTATTAAATGAGATTTTCCTCTGCTCGTAATTCTTAAGAAACAAGTAATACTCTGTAGCAGGATATGTTAATCACACAGCACTTTTTAAATTCACATCTTGATGGCTGTCTGCAAGAGATGATGTAAGGAGTTAGTTGGATTACTTATGTAAATTCTGGAGTCATCCAGTTTGATTCTGAGTCAATATCTGGTGTTTGGTAAGTTTTTAACACTTCTGCATTCAACATTGTTCAGATTTTTAATTTAACTATGGCAGTTGATGGATGATCATCTAGAAGAATCTTGACCCTAATTAAAGGTCTTCTGATGAAGTTCCTGCTTCTCTGTTTTTGCCCCTAGCTGTTGTAGTATGATATTGTTAATGTGATAATATCTATTTTGAAAATCACAGGAAGTTCTCTGTTATGAAGCTCATTTTCTTAAAGCTGAGTATTTTCCCAAACTTGCCAATTACTTGTTTCCTTCGAAGCCTTAATCCTTCTTTTCATCCCCACCCTTAACAAGCCTCTTTCTGCAATGCTCTGATACCTTGGGGGTTTGTGTGCAATGCAATATTAATGGTGTTCTGTACTGTAAAGCAATTCTGCTGCTTAAGTTGCTTGCTTTGCCTTAAATGATCAACAGTAAAACATGCAATGCTTGTCTCTGATATTTGTTTATCAGTAGAAGCAGATGCTTAAACTGAGATCCGTGGGAAGCTGGTAAAACTTTCTCCTGTTTCAGGTGTAGCTTTAAGCTGAGGAAAACCACAGTAGTTTCACTTGCTGTGTGTTCATTTAATCTTTCTTCTGTAATTAAACAGGACAAAGCTGGAGTGTGTGTACATGTGTGTGTTCATTCCAGATTTGTTTGTTTTCCACATAGGACTTTGATCCTGTATATGGATTTTGTAGTAAGCTTTCTGTGAAGAAAGATTACTGTGAAGACTTTTGACATAAAAAAAAAAAAATTTTAAAAGACAGTTAATGTGGGTTCCAAATTTGATCAGAATTAAATTCTTCCTACATAATTTAAGAAGCTTCCTACAAGGTGCCATAGTTTTGTACTTTAAAAAAGAAAAATATCTTAAGTGCTTGATTGTATGAAGGTCTCATAGACTGGTACTTTACAGATTGATTTTGTAGTGTTTTTATGATTATTGCTGTGATATAAGATATTTGTCTACCACCTGACACCTAGAGGGAGTAATACAATGTTTGGGAGTTTCAAGGTTAACCGTTAGACGTAAAGGACTAAGGAGACTTAGCGGGATAACTATGAATACTTTTTGTAACTTGCCTGATCAGAGGCCCCTCCCCTTACTAATTAATCATCAGACAGCAAGATCACAGAATCACAGAATGTCAGGGGTTGGAAGGGACCTCGAAAGATCATCTAGTCCAACCCCCTGCCAGAGCAGGATCACCTACAGTAGGTCACACAGGAACGCATCCAGGCGGGTTTTGAATGTCTCCAGAGAAGCAGACTCCACAACCTCCCTGGGCAGCCTGTTCCAGTGCTCTAACACCCTCACAGTGCCCCACTGACCACAACTCTCTGATTTCTTCCCTTCAACCAGTTTACAACCCACCCCACTACTCAGTCATCCAGACCGCACTTCCTCAGTCTATCTATGAGGATGCTGTGGGAGACGGTGTCAAATGCTTTACTGAAATCCAGATAAACCACATCCACTGCATGGCCACCATCCATCCACCTGGTTACATCTTCATAAGAGGCTATCAGGTTGGTCAAACATGACTTCCTCTTTGGTAAAGCTATGTTGACTGCTCCCAATGACCCCCTTATCGTTGGTATACCTAGACACAGCACTGAGGATAAGTTTCTTCATCACCTTTCCAGGGATGGAAGTGAGGTGGACTTATCTATAATTACCTGGGTCCTTCTTTCTGCCCGTTTTGAAGACTGGAGTGACATTTGCTTTCCTCCAGTCCTCAGGCACCTCTCCTATTCCCCACAAATTCCCAAAGATGATGGAGCGTGCCCTAGCAATGACCTCCCCTAGCTCCCTCAGCACCCACAGGTGCATCCCATCAGGGCCCATGGATTTATGGATGTTCAAGTGTCCTAATTGATCCCTAACCCAGTCCTCTTGAACCAGGGCAAACTTATCCTTTATCCTGACTTCCCCTGGGGCCACAGGGGACTGGGGCTCCTGAGGACAGTCTCCAACAGTATAAACAGAGGCAAAGAAGGCACTCAGCAACTGCCTTCTTTCTATCCTCTGTCTCCAGGGCACCCACCTCATTCGCCAGAGGGCCTACATTGCCTCTAGTGTTAGTTTTGTCAGCAATGCATTTGAAGAAGCCTTTTCTCTTGTCCTTGACCTCCCTCGCAAGGTTAATTCCAAGGAGGCCTAAGATTTTTTTTCTTTCTGATCGTCTGTCTTCTTCTTCCCTCTGTATTTTGCTTGGATCACATCTTTTCTCAATACCTTTTTTAGTTTAGTTTTGTAAAAACTATTCTTGCTTTAACTTAAACATCCATTTATCTCCTCCTAGCAGTTACAATTCTATGCTATGAAGCATTAATTCATCAATGCCCTTTTGTCATTCTGGCTTCATCTCTTCCACTTGGGTCTTGCAGCATTTCTGCTTGATTCTGTTCTACCAATGACCAAGGTGGCCTCGTCTCTCTAGTACTGGAAAGTGCTGGTGTGATGTCTACTGCAGCATGCCTGTGCATTGCCCTTAAAGAATTGCTGAGTTGTAGCTCTTTTTTGGCTATCATGTTAGCTCAAATTTCTCAAGTCCTGGAATTCTTTGCTACCCGCTAACTGACACTCTCTCTGAAGGCATCTTACTGCCTTGCTTGAGGTGAATTTCACCAAAGATTAGTAGTAAGAGCTTTCTAGTTATATATTAAATTGATTTCAATGATACTTCACAGGTATGGGGTTTTTTCCCTCCCTCCCTGACATTACAGAAAGTTCTGTAGGTAAATTAACAGGTGTCAGAAATCTGTAATCTGTAACAGAACCTACTCTGGGAAGAAAATAAATGGAAGGTATTTTATTGTGTACAATTAAAAATATAGCAGGAAAAATCAATATTATTGTTCCTAGACTGAGTGTAAATGACAGTGAAAATGGAAGTGATAGTAGGTGATAAATTATTATCTAGTAAAAAAAAATTTAAAAAATAGAATGTGAATACTTAATGGTTCACCAAGCCTCAAGGGTTTATAGTTTCCTTTAAAACTGATATTTTCTCCTCACATCTGAGTACTGGCATTAGCTGAAGTTGCAGAAGGTGGCTATCTGTATTCCAGCCTCAGTCACATTTGAAAATACGTTATCTCCTAAATTCAGTCCCTTTATGAAATGGCTTAGGCTATTCCATTCCCTTACAGTATCATTGTTAATTCTATATCTGCCAGGGCAGTGGTGTCAACAGTATGGATTTTCTATGTTTACACTTATTGTTAAAAAAGGATCAGTGCAGAGGAATGATAATATTTAGTAGTATCTGAGGTTCTAGGGAAAATGCTTTACTACACTGATAAACAGGATTTAGCTAGAACTATTCAGCTTTGCCATGGGAAGTGATTTACTTTGCAGTCTGAATTTTCTTCATGTTGGTAACAACTGGTTACATTAAATCAGCGCTCTCTTTCTGCTGTAACAGAAAATCCTAAGAGGCGATGGTGATCAGGGACTGAGTTCTTCAGTGTCTTTTAAGACTGTAATGTGTTTGTTACTCTCACATCAACTGCAGTGAAAAATACTTACCAATAGTGCAGTTGGGCCCAATAACCTTCATGGGAACATGGGCTTCCTATTCCTTATCAAAGAATCACAGAATGTCAGGGGTTGGAAGGGACCTCCAGAGATCATCTAGTCCAATCCCACTGCTGGAGTCGGATCACCTAGGGCAGCCACACAGGAACGCATCCAGGTGGGTTTTGAAGGTCTCCAGAGAAGGAGACTCCACAACCTCCCTGGACAGCCTGTTCCAGGGCTCTGTCATCCTCACAGTGAGAAAGCTTTTCCTAATGTTTTTGTGGAACCTCCTGTGCTCCAACTTGTATCCGTTACCTCTTGTCCTATCATTGGACATCACTGTGAAGAGCCTGACTTTACCTCCTGACACTCCCCCTTGACATATTTATAAATGTTATTGAGGTCACCCCTCAGCCTCCTCTTCTCCAAGCTAAAGAGACCCAGCTCCTTCAGCTTTTCCTCACAAGGGAGATGTTCCACTCCCTTTGTCATCTTTGTGGCTCTGCGCTGGACTCTCTCAAGCAGTTCCCTGTCTTTCTTGAGCTGAGGGGCCCAGGACTGGACACAATATTCCAGATGTGGCCTCACCAGGGCAGAGGAGAGGGGGAGGAGGACCTCTCTCAACCTACTAGCCACATCACTTCTAGTACACCCCAGGGTGCCGTTGGTCTTCTTGGCAACGAGGGCACATTGCTGGTTCATGGTCATCCTGCTGTCCACCAGGACCCCCAGGTCCCTTTCTCCTACACTGCTCTCCAGCAGGTCAGTCCCCAACCTGTACTGGTACTTGGGGTTGTTCTTTCTCAGGAGCAAAACTCTACACTTGCCCTTGTTGTATTTCATTAAATTTCTCCCCACCCAGCCCTCTAGCCTGTCCAGGTCTCGCTGAATGGCAGCACAGCCTTCTGGTGTGTCAGCCACTCCTCCCAGTTTTGTGTCATCAGCAAACTTGCTGACGGTGCACTCTGTTCCCTCATCCAGGTCACTGATGAATATATTGAATAGTACTGGTCTCAGTAGCAACTTCTGAGGGACTCCACTAGGTCCAGGCCTCCACCTAGACTCTGCCCCATTGACCACGACTCTCTGACTCCCCTTCAACCAGTTCACAATCCACCTCACTCCCCCATCATCTAGACCACACTTCCTCAGTTTTGCTATGAGGATGCTGTGGGAGACGGTGTCAAATGTTTTACTGAAAGCCAGATAAACCATGTCCAGTGTGCTGCCCTCATCCATTCACCTGGTTGTGTCCCCATAAAAGGTTATTAGGTTGGTCAAACATGACTTCCCCTTGGCAAAACCATGCTGACTGCTCCTAATGACCTTCTTACCTTTTATACGCCCAGAGACAACACCGAGGATAAGTTGTTCCATCACCTTTCCAGGGATGGAGGTCACGCAATCCTAAAATCAAGATATTTGGAGTCGATGTGTTCTTTTTAAAAGCAAGAACAGGAGTCCAGAAGCATGTGACTTGGCAGAAAATGAAAGCCTTCTTCATTCTCAGATCTAAATTTAGAGAATTGGTACAGTGCCCTACTAGCCAATGAAAGGGAACAAGTCCCTTCTGGGAGAACCATATGAGCATTAGCAGCTGGTGGAAGCAGCAGGTTACAGTGACTCAAGATACCCTTCTGCAGGAGGTGAAGGCACTGCTGACCAGACATGATTTCACAGGAGTTGTGTTCCTTGGCAAGTGCCTGTTGCAGAGGGAATGCAAAGGCTCATCTGGTCTTTGGGCTGTTTCCTCTTGCTGCTGATCTACATGGGCACAAGTGACACTGATGAGGAAAAGCTGAATTAAATCAAGACAGGCTATGGAGTTCTTTAGGCAAAGGTGAGCCTACATGTAAGCCTAGGTAGTGTTTTCCTCCATCCTGCGAATGAGCGGATATGCTCAGGTGAGTGCAAACACAACTTGTGCGTCAATGGCTGGCTATGTAGCTCATGTCACAAGAAATGATTTGGCTCTGTAATCTTGGGTTCCTCTGAGGAATGAGAACTGCTAGGCAGAGACAGGATCCGTTTAACAAAGCAAGGGAAGAACATCTTTGCCAACAGGCTGGCCAACCTGATGAGAAGCGTTTTAAACTGGATTATATCAGAGGATGGTGATAACAGCTTATAGTTAAGTGAAGGAACAGCAATTAGGGGTGATAAGTTCACAGGGTGAAGGAATGGAGTGAGAGAGCCCTCAGGAAATATAAAA